TGCTGCTCTCCAAGCTGCCAGGCTGCCAAGTTAATTTTCATCAGTGCACCCCTAATATATACACACACACACACACTAGGTCTGTCAAATGATTAAAAATTTTGATCACAATTAGTTGCATGATTAAAAAAAGATGCACTAATATATCGGTCCAATATCAGATCAGTAAGGATATAAAGAAAATTGGCTGTATCGGATATTGGCCCGATGGGGCCAATAATTTGGCTGATAAATGCCCGTGCTGCACGCAGCCACAGCGCATCCCTTAGGCAGCGAGGAGCACAGCCGGCAATGTAGACAGCTGCCTCCAGCTGGTAAGTTTGGCATGGTGGAAGGGGAGGGGGAGGGAAGGGGCTGGGAGGGGCAGATCAATGCTCCCCATGGTGAGGGAGGGGGCAGCTGCAGGCACTGCCCAGCCGGGGCAGGAGAGGATGGGGGACTGGAGCTGTAGCTCGTGGGGATAGGAAGCAGCTCCTGCTGTTGCTGGCACCCCTAGCTATCTCCTGGCTGGCCCTGCACTGGGCTCATGTCCCAGCCAGGCCCTCCCCAGCACACCGAGCTGTGCCAGAGGAGCCCCAGGCTGGCAGGCTGACCCCTGGAGCCCACTCACTGCCAGCCAGGGCTGCTCCACCCTGACTCAACCTGCTGCGATCCCAGGTGCAAGTAAAAACGTGGACCCAGAAGCAATGAACTCAGACGCAAACTAAATGCATGTGTACACATCCCCAGTGACTACTAAGCATCTGAATCACAGATCTAGTGTTTTGATTTAGTTGTTACAGACTGACATTGATTTGTATCAAAGAATGCAATATTTAGTGGTCCAGAAAGTTCACAGGTTCTCATTAAAGTTGCTATGTTATGAAAACATAGCATGCGTCTAGAACAAGGTGTGCCCTTGCCTTGATGATTAAATGCCATAAAGAAAATAGGGAAGGAGCTTTATGGCTGGCACTCATTTGTTTGTTTGCTTATTTAGATAAATGAGAATTTGCATTCTGTACTGCCCTTCAAGATAGAAATCACCAAGCAATTATTACATAGCTTGAAAATGCAATATGAAAATTACTTGGTGAGTGGCATGGAGCCTGGTCTGGTGGTTAGACCACTCCTTCAGATTATTTCAGGTCAGCCACTGACTCACCATGTGACCTTGGACAAGTTACCTGAGCCCAGATCTTCAAAACTGCTCAGGCTTTGGTTCTTCAGAACATTTAAGCACAAGCTTATATTTATGTATATGCTTAAGTTGGTACTTAAACATACATTTAAGTGCTTTCATAAACTGTTGTCTCCACTGAATCAATACCATGGCATGGCATTTAAGCAAGCGCTGACAGCTGCAGAAAGCACTGCTTTTGGATAAAACTCCTGATCTCCTAAGATTGTTGGAGAGCTACTGATATATCTTGCAAGAGACAGGGTTGTTCCATACTCAACAGCATCTTCCCTCTCCTCCCATTCCCACCTCCCCAGCCCATCACTGGTGCTGTCCCATTGCCTTCAGATGACCAGGGTTCAAAAGGAGGTCCAGAGCTGCCCCGACCCACTCCAGGCAGGCTGAATGAGGGCCAAGTTCAACCAGGGACAGTGGCAGCGGGTGGGTTTCCCCTCCCTGAGTCTGCTTCTGGGCTGGCAGAAAACATATAGAGAAGATCAGGCAGGAAGGAAGAACCTGTCCACTACCTCTGCTGCAGCTGCAGCCTAAGCCCAGCTCCC